TGATTATATAACAGAGAATCACGATGCATATATCTGTAAGATAGATAATAAATTGTGTTGGTTGGAAATGCTATACCAATATGAGCATTAGTAGCTCTATTAGTATAGCATTTGCGAGTCGGGTGATAGTGATGGCTTTAGTGTGATAATTTAATAGCTAGAGAATATTCTGAAGAGGGTAGGTTGATATTTCCGCTAGAGTACGGCAGTGTGAAAATTGAATGAAAGTTGAAATTGAGCGGAGGGCCATTGGTGATTTAACGATAGCGCTCATCTTTCACTTTGCTTTCCTTTTTCCTTTAGTTGCTTCTCCGGTTCCTTCCGAGCCTTCCGCTTGGGACAGGAAAATATTTATCTTTGTTGCCATCATAAAATATATTTCCTTTGCGATTAAAGAAATACAATGACCTGGGGATTTCCTTCTTCACATCCATATATATACCGCGTATCCCTGTATATACCTCAAAGCACAGATCAGATGGAAATTTCTCCCGGATGATGCGTTTAATTTTTCTATATTTCCCCAGCACTTTATCCAGCTCGTTGTCCGGTACCTCTGGTGGAAAGTCATACACACACACACATACTGGATAAATTCACCAGTATGGGACATGCATACCTTTGCCGCCATTCGCATAATGGAAGATTAAATCCTCCGAATTGTATGTCAGAGCATGGAGCATCACTTCCTCTGATTTGAACTTCATGAAGACTCCCTTTTCCTCACCAATGCGATAAACAGCTTCCATTCTCAATCCTCTCTCAACATAACCAATTTTCCACTCACGTTAGCTTTTTTTTTTGCAGATATCCTTATGAGATACTTTTAATTTATATTTTACAGCGAATCCTGATAATGAAGAAGTTGAAGACGAAACATTACAATTATTATTCGACAAAATATCTTATTTTGGTCTTAATCAAATTAACCATGTGAAAAATCAACAAAACTCATATTTAGACCCTTTATTTACAAATTGTACTGAAGACTTCTGTGAGTATACATCATTAGCACCTATATGGAAAAATGAAGTGTTTTACACAGCAATTCAATACTTTTCAGCAGGTGAAAAATCTAATTACAAGTAAACAGCACGGCTTTTTTAAAGGTCGGTCAACTACCTCTAATCTTCTAGAATATGTATATTTCATTCTTAAAGCGTTGGATAGTGGCAAGCACGTTGAAGCGATATACACCGACTTCAGTAAAGCATTTGACCACATCGACATACCATTATTAATCCTCAAATTGCAGAAAATAGGAATGGAGCCTGGCCTTTTGAATTGGCTTCAATCATACCTAACAAATCGTAAACAAATAGTCCACTTTAAAAATAAACTTTCAGAACCAATTTCAGTCACCTCTGGGGTACCACAGGGTTCTCATTTAGGCTCACTTCTTTTTATTTTGTATATAAACGACATTTCTTACATACTTAAAAAAATAAAACTGCTTGTATATGCAGACAAGATGAAGCTCTTTATGAAAATAAGTAATTCTAGCGATGCAGAAGAACTCCGGAATGAAATCAAAATATTCCACACCTGGTGTGGTAAAAGTCTATTTCAACTGAACGTAAAAAAATGTACCGCAATAGCATTTAGCAGAAAAATTGAAGCACCGCATATTGATCGGTCAACTACCTCTAATCTTTTAGAATATGTATCTTTAATTCTTAAAGCGTTGGACAGTGGCAAGCACGTTGAAGCGCTATACACTGACTTCAGTAAAGCATTCGACCGCATCGACATACCATTATTAATCCTCAAATTGCAGAAAATAGGAATGGAGCCTGGACTTTTGAATTGGCTTCAACCATACCTAACACATCGTAAACAAATATTCCGCTTTCAAAATAAACTTTCAGAACCAATTTCAGTCACCTCTGGGGTACCAGAAGGTTCTCATTTAGGCCCAATTCTTTTTATTTTGTGTATAAACGACATTTCCTACATACTTAAAAAAAATAAAACTGCTTGTATATGCAGACAAGATGAAGCTCTTTATGAAAATAAGTAATTCTAGCGATGCAGAAGAACTCCGGAATGAAATCAATATATTCCACACCTGGTGTGGTAAAAGTCTACTTCAACTGAACGTAAAAAAATGTACCGCAATAGCATTTAGCAGAAAAATTGAAGCACCGCATATTGAAATATCATTAGGCAACCAAATAGTAGAAAAAAAAGCAAAATTGTAAGAAATCTAGGTGTAATCCTAGACTCCAAACTAACTTTTATAGAATATTATAATACTATCATTAGTAAAGCAAACAAAATGCTAGGCTTCATTAAAAGGTTCAGTCATAATTTCGAAGACCCATGCACTATTAAGCTATTATATACCACATATGTAAGGCCAATTCTGGAATACTGCCAACTAGTATGGAATCCATACATGTCCATACACGAAGAACGCATAGAATCTGTCCAAGATTCAGAACCATCTTTAGGATGATCCTAAACAGTCCCACGTTGAGCTCTGAGGTCCACCGTCTGGCTGGAATTCAGACACTCATACTAATCTAGGCCTCCACTGTTCAGTATTTTTTTTAACTACGGAACAGAGCGGTAAAAGTTTCATAATGAGTGAAACATTCAAAAAATATTTAATTTATTCCAAACCTGTACATACTTTGTTCAGATAACCCGTTGTCTGTATGTATGTATGTATGTATGTATATACAATCCAACTTCCACTGTCCGGCAGTGTTTTTATGGAAGAAAAATGTTTGCAATATAATCTATCATTATTATACTGATCTCATTGCAAACAATTTTAGCCCGGAAGTTGAAAGGTGATAGCTCTGTTGAGATTCAGTAACCCATTTCAGAATGTCTGGTCACTCACGTCCATTCCGAGGTTACTTTCACTTACAACAAGCCCCGCATACACGTAGTACCGATATAAAATGTATATTGGTACTGCGTGTACACTTCCATCATCAAAGCAATTCCTGCTTTGTAGATGGCACGTATTTAGTAGGATGCATTTCATATTTTTATATCTAGTTGTAATCAGTTAGATCTCACCGCTTATGTATTGTGTCCTCGACGTGGAAGCATCGTAGTCTAATCTGCAAATTCATCTTTCCCGGTTTTTGTCTAGGGGCAGAACGCCAATGCTTCCGGAAGTGGAGGCGTAGCACCGGAACACACTAGCACGACGCTACAGCAACACAACTATTCAAACAAAATTCTAGCCCGGGAATTTTCACAATAATTCACAATATTAAAACACTGATAAATTAATCATAATGAATCTATATACACATGATAATAATAAAAACGAATTACTTTTTGCCTTAGTACAAGCCAAAAAGCACGCGGAAAATACGGAATTTGTGACAGCGAAATTAAAACAGCCCGTTTGCGGGCAGAGCCTACTGCGCACTCAGCGTTCAGTTAACCCGTTGTCTGTACCTCTAAAATAAAGTTAAGTTCATTGCGGAAATCTTTCAAAACATGTAACGGTCATTTGAAATTTTACTTACTTTTTCAGCAGCGACTTCTGTGATCTTCAATTCAGTGTGCTGGAGAAGTTGGTAAATATCCTAGCCGTCATGTGACAATGAGAAAACAGGTCGTCTCACTATCACTGTCTATTCTGTTATTTCCCAATGATCAAGCATTCAAGAGTAATTCTCATACGGTTGTGACATCAAAATTTCTTACTGATTTAGATGAATTAAGGCAAAAAACGGTATTCAATCGGTGAAGTGAATATATGTTTGAAACTTCCGCGGTATAAGTAACAACTTACATCCGTTCCCATATTCGAGAACGAGAACCGTTTGTTTGAATGCTGGTATTGAATGCTATTGAACAGTAGTTCGTTAGTTTAAAAAAATCACTGCTTCCGTGAGCTTGTAATTGCTATATTCACAACACTGTCACGTTCTGTCATGGCAAAAAATCGATGACATTTTCAAAAAAATCTCTATCATCGTTTTCTCATCCGATGAAAGTGACAAAACTACATATCTCTAAAAATCGAGTGAGATTCTTCATTGAAAATATCATTTACCAGCCCTGGTTGTGAGCGATCTGACCAGCAGATCATACGTGATCTTACAAACCACAAAAATGTTCGATTCTAACTACCCCCAAGGGAGTTCTCAAAAGAAAAATTTCATATGATATTATTAAAATCCAATTCAAATCCAAAGATGAAGAACCCATCAGGCAAAATCAATTAAAATTTAAAAAAACAAATGCAACACTTTGATCAATGGAATTAAATTGTCATTTGACAGCTTCAATACTGCTCTGACATGTCATCATAAATAATTGTTTTGAAATCATTTTATCACTCAAAGTATATATTTCCTAAAATCGTTCTCGCAAATCATGCTCGTTTATAGAATACATTCACTTCGTTTTCCAACAACCTACAACACTCTCATCTTCAAACTCCACTCATCACAAAATAATAGCTGGTGCAGCAAACACTGGACTATCATAATCTATATCCGGTGCGTAATACTCCGGTACACTGTAAATCGGCGGAGATATGTAGTAAGTGGAAGGGTACGGCTCAAACCCGACTCCGAAACCTCCGAATCGTCTATAGCCATAGTGTGGAGCTGGTGCGGGTGCAGGAGCGGGAGCAACAGAACTGATCGCGAGCAATACAAACAGAAACAGAAGTTTGAAGATGACAGCCCCCATTGCTAGATCGAGTAGCTTCGCTTGGTCTGGAAATTGAAAACTACCTTTATTAACCACCGACGACTCCTTATAAACGGTATCAATGAAATAAGCCGGTGATCGTGATCTTGGCATATCCCACGGATTCGAATACTGGTTTTACATCGGTGTTAATTAATTTGCAGATGTATTGTGCGTTTTCTTTGGTGATGGCAGCAAAGTGCTAAAAAGATTAGCAGACGAACGACATCATACTGGTTTTGCGGTCAAATGTTCGGTTTTGGCCAAACTTGGGGAATTCCAGGTTCCAACACATAAGAATTTTTCTGATTCAAATCATCACAAACAAGAAATTTTTGCATCGTTCGTTTATTATAAATAAATTATCACAATCTCATTGAGTTATGCGTCGCACTTTCCTAACACGGTATGGTAACTTATCCGTGGTGGTGGTGATGACGGTGTCCGTATCCGCCGTATCCACCGTATCCACCATACCCTCCATAGCCACCGCCATAACCTCCACCGTATCCACCGTATCCGCCATGACCTCCACCGTATCCACCGTATCCGCCATAACCTCCACCGTATCCTCCGTATCCGCCATAACGTCCACCGCCATAGTATCCAGGTCCACCGAATCCACCTCCAATCAAACCTACGCCAACACCGAGTCCGCCGAATCCAAACTGACGCTTGGCACGGACAGCCTCTTCACCGGTCACTTCCTGGTCCTGGTTGACCTGAGCCAACTCAACCGGATCAACAACAGCCGCAGCTGGGGCAGGTTCATCATTTTGTGGCTCTGCTTCCGGGACTATCTCCTGCTCAACTGGGGCATTTTGTTGAAGCTCTACGGGCAGCGGTCCGGATGGTCTCGAAAGCAGAATCGTTCCATCCTGGGGCACCGGAACTGGCTCCAGGCCCTGCGGGAAGGCAATGGCCGATCCGACCAATGCCACTAGCAGCACTGCGCAAGTGGGGTTCATCGTTCAAGTACTGGAAAGTGAGGAAACAGAGAGTTTTTGTTTATTAATTGGTGAAATTCTGTCAAAACCCAGTAATTTTTTGCTACGGGCTTGATCAAGCCTTCAAAACTGATTTGAGATGATTTAGATACACGCCACGCTGATTTAATTTTTCTAAAGCGAACCCCACACGGTAAGAAATATTGTCAATACTTACAAGTATTGACAATAATATTGATGATGTGAATACAGAAATATTGTCAATACCGATGTATTGACGTCAATATAAAATGTATTGACAATACGATTATTGTCAATAAAAGCAATCGTGTACGGTCCACATAAGACGTAAAAAAACCGGAAATTTATGGACTGTTATATAACAAAACCAGACGCTATAATTTGACGGTTCATGAGTTGATGGGTCGATAGGTAGGGTTAAGGTGTGGGAGCTGCCACCCTGGCGTCGGTGGCATTGGTACTCGGAACAAGATCGACGAGATCCAAAAGAAAATGCAACTAATTAGCTTGGCTCAGTAGAAGTTTCTGCTACATGGCGATAGCTATGATAGCGTTAAGAACAAGGTTAAAAGAATTCACAAATGACCGTTGCCTTACCACTTCGAATTATTGAGGGCACGAATCTCATAAACTACAGGGTAGCCAGTAATTCAAATTCAAATCGAGCCTCGTTAGTTCAAATAAAAGCGATGAAATAGACTTTGCTTAATACTGAAGACAGCAAGAAAAAAACTACTACTGCCACCGTCTCCAACCAGAGGTTGCATAGACTGAACACTCAACACTGGACAATGGCCAACACATAACACCCAGTAGACCAGCAGGGATATTTCCTTTTTTCGAAAAATTCTTCTGGCTGGAGCGGAACTCGAACCCTTACTTCGTGCCACACATAATTCGCCTAAACGACGGGTGACGCCACTAACCGCACGACTACGGGGCCCAGAATTCTAAGGACAAGTACAGCAGCACTGCTCTTGAGCAAGACCAAAGGTGGAACCACAGCGAAGAACAAAATTCGCAAACCTCTCTCTTGAGGTTGGCCCGTAAAAAAAATTCAATAACAATACAATGGTGTTCATTGTCATTGTAGCCATGATATTTACTGTCAAAACATTTGACATTTTTGTCGATTACCATAAAATCACAATTAAATGCATGGTTCACAACAATGAAAATCATGGTATTTCGTAACGCGTTACGTTGCACCAGCTACCAGCAAAGGCAACACAAGTCAAAGAAACGTGAACTCTGTTCTGAAAGTCATGATCTTGTTTTGGTAAACGCGATTTGAGTTCATGATTTGTACATAATATGAGAACTAAAGTCGGTGTATAATGAGTCACGCCAAGAGAAAAATAGTTGAACTCGCATCACGGTTTTCGAAAGATCCCCTTTCTTTTAACTTGGCAACAGAGGACTTCTGCATCAACTTCAAATGACTTCTAGCGAGGAAAAAAATTAACGGCTGTAGTAAATCATTATATCAGTGATTTTGTCGAATTATCTTAAGAAAAAATAGTAGAAATTGTCCTTACTGATCATTACAAAACGTATCGCATGACAAATGTAATGCTCACTGCGTGTATATGAAAATTTCATCGGTTTTATTTAATATTTCATTGCAATACCTTTCGTGGACCTTTCATAGCATCGTAATGCTTGTTTACTTTGCACGATAGGTAGCCGGTTTGACAGTTCAATAGGTAGACTTGGCTTCACTCTTGGCGTGACTCATTATACACCGACTCTAATGGGAACATGGTTCAAAGACTGTAAACCGTAAACATCAAAATAATTTTCAATGTGTTGTTTGGATTGTACATCATGGAAGTGGAAGGAAACTGTAAACGATGGCAGACTTGACTGAAACAGCCGAACTATGCAGGTTTCACCCATACCATAAATTGGCAGCAAGCATCTGTCCAGCAGATGGGGTGGACACATTTTCAGTTCATCAATTCAACGGATCTTCCGTCATAATTACGCAGCTCCCACCACCTTCATCATCATCATAACAAGCCACAAGCACTGATCACATCCACTTCTTGCACACCTTCGCTTCCATGCTATTTCTAGTGTCCGAACTAGCGGAAAACATATCCACCGGCTCTGGGGCAATCTTCAGCGTTTTCTCAACGCATACGAGCACTCAGTAGGGATAAGTTTCACAACAACCTGAAAATGACAGCTTTATATGTGATCCAAGTTCACGATTGCAGGAACGAACATCAGGATTATGGGTTCATGGTATCACGAAATCATGATTTTATTTAGTATTTTGCTTAGCCACAGAGAACAGACATCCAAGTCAAATTTCTAAAGTGTGTAAGAAATTTAACTGCTATTTTGAATAGACATTTGAAACTAGCAATATCGTGGTGGCGCTAGTGTCGCTGCCCATCGACTTCGATGACTGGCAGACGTCATATTAACATAAATGTCAAAATTGTTGTGAGCAAAACATTGTTTGGTTAAAACCGATCAAAACATGGGCCGCAAGAGCTAGTTTTATGAATGCGCAAATAAACCAAGCGAAAATATTTTCACAATTTTCCTATGGATGCTGAATTTCCCAAACTACAGGAGTCTTTCTTCTCACATGGAGTCCAAGCGCTTGTAACGAAAAAGTTATGTGTCAACCACTTTCCCCCGGAGGCTTTTCGAATTCCTGGAAGAACGGATGCAGGGTAAGCAGTGTTCAAATCTTACCACATTTTTCTGAATTTAAATAAGGGTTCATTGGAGTTCACACCCTCACTGAATCATTTGAAGATACGCCGCCAGTGAACTCAAAAAAAAAATTAGTTTTGCTCCTGACTACTATGTCCAGATAAAATTGATACGAAAAACGGTTATAGATCTATAGGAAACTGTAAAAGAGCTTAAAATAATAATGGTTCCGTAGAAACTCGATTGATTTCCGTTGTTTTGTCTTGTTTGTTTTGAACTGATTTGACAGTTCATTTGGAAACACGGTCAATAAGATCAACCCAAATTTTAATCGCAAAAAGTGATAACTCGAGTCGCAACATTCCATATGGCGGCGCTAGTGTTTGTAACGTATTTAATTTGAATTCTTACACATTATTTTTCGAAAAATTTGTTTAAGCTTGGATGTCTGTTCTCTGTGGCTTAGCGATACGAAATTGCTAGTTGCCCTGAACAGGTGTGAACTAAGTTCAAAGATTTGAGATTAAGTTCATGAAAATCAAAAACTGCTATATTGTAACAGTATTGCAACTATTATAACAGTGCATTCTGTCTAGAAACGTGTACATAGATATTATAATTATATACGCATTTCTTCTGCATTATTTTTTTTTAAGCATTGCGTTTATCCACCACAAAACATTTGATGTTTACTACCATTCTTCCGTGAGCTCAGCAGAGCGGTTGTATCCGAGTGTGATGTGCATGATTGAGATAAAGACATGCGAATGTGCTGTATCATAGTGATGAATAACACAAACTCGGTGTTTTGCCATCTGGGTAGTTCTGCGAGCTACTAGCATCCAGTGCTGAGATTTGTGACAGTCATTGACAGACTTTTGCGCGATATTGACACAATGGTTTTCACATAGTCACTGACAGACTTGATCCTCAAAAAAAAAACCATCGTCAAAATCTCATTCATATTTTTGTCAATGACAAAGATTCACCTGGTAACAAAAAGTGTAATTTCGTGCATTCTATATGTCACATTATTGTAATTCAATCATTTCAGGACGTAGATGCGTGTTCACTTTAACCGGCTCCATGTAATTCTGTTGCCCAAGTAATTTAATTTCGTTACAAATTTAGTTAATAATAAAATCTACACATGTTCGTCACTGACAGACAGCATAGTCATTGACAATGGACATGGTTTGCCTTGACGATGACTGTTAGCTCAAATGAGTGACCAAACCAGGATTGTCAATATCGCCGTGTATTGTCGAGATTTTGCAACACTGCTAGCATGTCGTTCAGGAAAATAATATCAGCGATTAAAGGCGACGACCTATAAAATAGAATTTGATATTATTTAACTATTTTGGGAGAAAATTTGATGAACATTGTATTTTCGAAAGTCGACTAAACAATACAAAACTTTTTTTTCTCCTTTGATTCGTTTTCCGTTGATCTTGTTTTGTGTGCTGAGCACCAACGCTACCGACGCCAGGGAGGCAGCTCCCACACCTGGACCTTACCTATCGACCCATCAACTCTGAACCGGGGACCAACGGCTTTACTTCCCTTCCGAAGGAAGGCATGATCAGAGATGTTATGCCTCAGAGCATCCCGGCGGCGCCGACTGGTATTTAACCCAGGCCTGCTGGGGTGAAAGGTAATCATGCTTAACGCTTACCACTACACCACAGGCGCCGCTGAATACAAAACTTTGCTGTATTAAAAAAATCTACTCCAGAAGCCGGATCCTGTGCTATTCGGAATACCCGCAAAACAATATTTCCTTGGTTCTGGCCTATTGCTGGTGAAGACATATTTCAAGTAAATGCTCATTCAATTTGATTTTCTTCTTTTCATATACTTCAGCTTGCTATTATCAGAATTTACACAAGCAAAACATTAGCAGCTCTTATTAAAGAGAAAAACTAAAACGCATAAATACTATAGTCGCTATATTCATAGTCTGGCGGATAGAATTTCGATCTATCAAAATGCGGAACCATTTCAATATATTGTAGACCAACAATTGAAAAGGTACTATCAACTTTTATAAACAAAACGTTGATTATTCTTTCCTCGACAATCGAAGGTAAATTACCAGCAGGGGAAACTTTCCACAACCTAAAGATAGCCTTTAGTCACGAGGAAACGGTTTCCAAAATTTTGTTCGCAATAGCTGATGTGCTCTTTTCTGTTGTTGGTCGTGATTTGCTCGATTGGTTCCGCTCTTTGACAGCTCAATTGGTTCCCGAGATTCTATCCACCAGACTATGAATATAGCGACTTTAATAAATACGTGACGGTCTTCGACGACAGTGCCGTATAACAGAGACTGTCATATGACATTTTAGTTTGGTGACCGCTTACAGCATGGAGCACCTAGTTTATGTAATGGATTTTTTTTTAATTAAAAATCAACTCTCAACTAAGTGTAAATCATTTTTGTAAAAAATCCCATCAAAGTAACAACTAAATTAACATACTACAATCAAAACCCCTGCTTATTTATTCAATCTTCTTTCAGGCTCATTTATTCAATCAGACATTTTTAGGTAATAAGCAGGTACCGTAAAACGGGATAACATTGATAGTTTTTTAAAGTATATTCTAAATATTTTTTACAGCAATGAATGTTTTTTCAAATTTTATATTTTTAAAACAAGTTCTGCGGATCCAAGAATTAATTCGTTAGTAATATGTTGAACGAAAATTAGAGCATTTGCGCTATTTCTTTAGTTTTGTGACCGAACTTCAGTACATATTTTGATTAGGGGTTACTTTGATAATGCTCGATGAATGTAGAAAAAAAATGAGTGAAACTCAAACAATTTAGTTCTTTAAATATGAAACATTGAATGGGTATATAATCAGAAATCTTCATAAGCAATAAGAATACAACATTAAATTTGTGACGGCTGTATTGGAAATACATTTCATAGGTGATGGTTTGAGTGTTTTTTTTTTCAAAAAGGCGAAAAACACGAAAAATGGTTTTTAATATTTTTATAAAATTTGCAACACATACTTTATAAAAACTATATACGATATCAACGAAAATACCCTAAGCTACAATATGGAACCAATGTTTCTTATTTGGGAAAAGGACAGCGAGTAAATTTATTCTTCATATTATACTATCAAAGTTACCCGCATTATCAATTTACCGTTATTACCGTTTCACTTAATTCAATTTTCACTTAGTTTTAAAAGCTCTAAATGTTCATCATATATTTTCCCAGTCATTGCATTTCAACTACTTTTCAGCAAACTTTGCACAGGTTCCCACATTTCCTAGCTCGCAGATAACAAAAACAAATCACTTGTCACTCTTTACTGTATTCCATCCCATTCAATTAGCACTCAAGATCCGACACAAATCAGCAAAACCTATTCATATCCACTGATCTTACCTTACAATCGGTAACTATCCAAAAGAAATTCACAACACCACGTCTTTAATCCTCAAGCTCTGTCGAAGTACTACAACTGCTCTTGACCATCCAGCAATCTTTTATATACATACAGTAAAAATCGAGAATTACGAGCAAAAAGGTCGCCGCGCATGGGAGAGAAACTTAAGAATTGCTTCTTAAACCACTACCACCAATATCATCGCGTCACAAAATACTCCGCCCGCCTTGCTGTCACCCCACACACAACCACAGGGCAAACCGACCGGTACAAGTACTCGCCATCATGCGTCATGTTGCGTCGCGCCTCTTGTTTTTCGATTTAAACTTGAAAACCGGTGGTGGACTTCCAGAAGCCTACAACAATGAAAAAACTATTCAAACCGCCGACGATGACGTTCTGTCAATCTTGTTCGTGTGGGGCCAGATGATAGCTTTTGTTGTTTGTGGTTTTTGATTCGGCATTGGAAGGGTTGAAACTAGTAGCCGGCGATGATCTTCCGTTTCGGATGTTTACTACGCTCACAATCACACAAAGAAGCGGTATCTCGCACGTCGTCAGAGCGTCATCGATGTGACACTTCATCTTTCAAGCCGCTAGACTCACAGCAGCAGGGAGGGAATGGGACGATGACAAACTATTATCCATGCTCGGCGGCCGCAATGATTTCGGATTTGATAGGGGACAGGTTTCCGAGGGAATTTCCCGAGGTCGCGAGATGCGTTGGCGCGCTAATGCTCTAAACTGCCGCAGACAGAGGTTTTACGAGAGATGATAATTAGGAAGCGGCATTCTAATTAATTTATTTGGATGGAAGAACGGAAGTTTAGTGCGTTGAATATTTAATAAATGACGTAAAGATTAGATTCGATGATTTGCAACATTACAAGATTACGTCGTGATTCATAGTTAAAAACACACTCTCATTTCGATTTAGTAAAAAATCATGCATAATTGGGACATACCCAGTGTTGTGGTTAACATGCATACCTCTCACGCCAATGTCACGAGTTCAAATCTGATCTCCGGACAAGTCACCCAAGAGTGATAAAGTGTATAATAAGTCAAAGGAAACGACTGGGTCATAGATTTTGTATTTGTTCGAATGCCTCCACCATAGGACACTTAACCCTTCGTTACTCGCGGCAACTTTTTTATTGGAACCGACCAACGGCAAAACAAAATGCTATTGTGTACAACCTCAGTATTCTGCGATGAAAATGAAAGTGAATGAACTTACACAAGATTTCCTTTAGTCCTACTTTGCACTCACCGATCCGCTCTAAACTATCAACCATTTTAACAAATATAGTGGAAATGGATGTAATGTAGACCTAAAGCCCCTAATCGACTAAATATTCAATAGCGACCAAAAATATCCATTAGTACCGTCCCAATGACGCGTTCAACTAGATACATAGATACGTCTACATAGATAGATAACAGATTTTTAGCGATGGGCCTAGTTTTAGATCCATAGGCCAACATTAGAGCCATTTCCCCTACATGAAGTTTTCCCGAAAATTCACAAAAGAATTGATTTTTAGCTTCCTAACAAGAATTATGCCTATACAATGATGCCGTTTAAAAAGTTTTGACACTGTTCCACGAGTGATCCAAATTAACAGTTTGTTCAGTAATTTTGTACAAATGGTCGGTAACAAAATGGTCGGAACATCCAGTAAAACTAGCATCAAAGCAAATCACAATAAATAATTTAATAATTTAATATACTTCTGTAACTCTTATTATGATTTTCTTAATACTCTAAAAAATTCGAAAGTTTTGCTGGGTCCACAAAACAAAGTACCGAACATCGAGTATGCTGTTAAGTGTGTACGGAGGAGAAGCGAAAGGGTAATGGGTCCTTCTTCTTCTTCATTCCCTTATTTAACGTCGGTCTCTGTTCCGCAATCTAGTGCTAATCACCGACGGACATCGATTGCCATCCATTGACGGCAATCGAATGTGCAGGAAGGCAGTTTCCACACCTGCGTAGGATATCGTACCCATTCACAACACACATGGGCCGGGACCAACGGCTTTACTTCCCTTCCGAAGGAAGACGTGACCAGAGATTTTTATGCCTTAGAAAAATCCCACCGACCTCGGCTAGGATTGAACCCAGACCCATCGGGGTGTTAGAAAGCAGTCACGCTTATCTCTACACCACCGGCGCCGGCAAGGTAATGGGTCCGATGCTACTGAATATTTTTGGTGATCTGGTTCTGGATATATGGCCAGAACATGTTCCGGCGAGTATGAGTTACAAGTGTGAAGGTACCTAAAACGTGTTAAACCTTTCATGTGACACCTCTAATAACATTAAAATTCAACATCAAGTTCATTGGTCGATTTAAAGGTTTGGGAAGCCCACCTTGTCGGCCGGTTTCTGAAATATTTTATACTGTGAAATTTGGGTATGAATTTTACGAGCATCTGAACACCCCCCAAATCGCGATTAGAGCCATATGTAAGGCGATAAAACGATTCAAATGTTTGGGAAGCCCACAGGCCGAGAAATAAAGGCTTTTGAAATATTTTATACAGGGAAATTTGGTTATGAAAATTTCGAGCATCTGAACACCCCCACATCGCGATTAGAGCCATATTTAAGGAGATAAATCGATTTAAAGGTTTGGAAAGCCCACAGGCCGACAAATAAAGGTTTTTGAAACATGTTATTCTGGAAAATTTGGGTATGAAAATTTCGAGCATCTGAACACTACCCAAATCGCGATTAGAGCCATATTTAAGGAGATAAATCGATTTAAAGGTTTGGAAAGCCCACAGGCCGACAAATAAAGGTTTTTGAAATATTTTATACTGGGAAATTTGGGTATGAAAATTTCGAGCATCTGAACACCCCCCAAATCGCGATTAGAGCCATATTTAAGGAGATAAATCGATTTAAAGGTTTGGGAAGCCCACAGGCCGACAAATAAAGGTTTTTGAAATATGTTATACTGGAAAATTTGGGTATGAAAATTTCGAGCATCTGAACACTACCCAAATCGCAATTAGAGCCATATTTAAGGAGATAAATCGATTTAAAGGTTTGGAAAGCCCACAGGTAGACAAATAAAGGTTTTTGAAATATTTTATACTGGGAAATTTGGGTATGAATATTACGAGCATCTGAACACCCCCAAATCTCGATAAGAGCCATATTTAAGGAGATAAATCGATTTAAAGGTTTGGGAAGCCCACAGACCGACAAATAAAGGTTTTTGAAATATGTTATACTGGAAAATTTGGGTCTGAAAATTTCGAGCATCTGAACACCCCCCAAATCGCGATTAGAGCCATATTTAAGGAGATAAATCGATTTAAAGGTTTGGGAAGCCCACAGACCGACAAATGAAGGTTTTTGAAATATTTTATACTAGAAAATTTGGGTATGAAAATTTCGAGCATCTGAACACTACCCAAATCGCGATTCGAGCCATATTTAAGGAGATAAATCGATTTAAAGGTTTGGAAAGCCCACAGGTAGACAAATAAAGGTTTTTGAAATATTTTATACTGGGAAATTTGGGTATGAATATTACGAGCATCTGAACACCCCCAAATCTCGATTAGAGCCATATTTAAGGAGATAAATCGATTTAAAGGTTTGGGAAGCCCACAGGCCGACAAATAAAGGTTTTTGAAATATGTTATACTGGAAAATTTGGGTATGAAAATTTCGAGCATCTGAACACCCCCAAATCTCGATTAGAGCCATATTTAAGAAGATAAATCGATTTAAAGGTTTGGGAAGCCCACAGACCGACAAATAAAGGTTTTTGAAATATGTTATACTGGAAAATTTGGGTATGAAAATTTCGAGCATCTGAACACTACGCAAATCGCGATTAGAGCCATATTTAAGGAGATAAATCGATTTAAAGGTTTGGAAAGCCCACAGGTAGACAAATAAAGGTTTTTGAAATATTTTATACTGGGAAATTTGGTTATGAATATTACGAGTATCTGAACACCCCCCAAATCGCGATTAGAGCCATATTTAAGGAGATAAATCGATTTAAAGGTTTGGGAAGCCCACAGACCGACAAATGAAGGTTTTTGAAATATTTTATACTGGAAAATTTGGGTATGAAAATTTCGAGCATCTGAACACTACGCAAATCGCGATTCGAGCCATATTTAAGGAGATAAATCGATTTAAAGGTTTTGAAAGCCCACAGGTAGACAAATAAAGGTTTTTGAAATATTTTATACTGGGAAATTTGGGTATGAATATTACGAGCATCTGAACACCCCCAAATCTCGATTAGAGCCATATTTAAGGAGATAAATCGATTTAAAGGTTTGGGAAGCCCACAGACCGACAAATAAAGGTTTTTGAAATATGTTATACTGGAAAATTTGGGTATGAAAATTTCGAGCATCTGAACACTACGCAAATCGCGATTAGAGCCATATTTAAGGAGATAAATCGATTTAAAGGTTTGGAAAGCCCACAGGTAGACAAATAAAGGTTTTTGAAATATTTTATACTGGGAAATTTGGTTATGAATATTACGAGTATCTGAACACCCCCCAAATCGCGATTAGAGCCATATTTAAGGAGATAAATCGATTTAAAGGTTTGGAAAGCCCACAGGCCGACAAATAAAGGTTTTTGAATTATTTTTTACTGGGAAATTTGGTTATGAATATTACGAGTATCTGAACACCCCCCAAATCGCGATTAGAGCCATATTTAAGGAGATAAATCGATTTAAAGGTTTGGGAAGCCCACAGACCGACAAATGAAGGTTTTTGAAATATTTTATACTGGAAAATTTGGGTATGAAAATTTCGAGCATCTGAACACTACGCAAATCGCGATTCGAGCCATATTTAAGGAGATAAATCGATTTAAAGGTTTTGAAAGCCCACAGGTAGACAAATAAAGGTTTTTGAAATATTTTATACTGGGAAATTTGGGTATGAATATTACGAGCATCTGAACACCCCCAAATCTCGATTAGAGCCATATTTAAGGAGATAAATCGATTTAAAGGTTTGGGAAGCCCACAGACCGACAAATAAAGGTTTTTGAAATATGTTATACTGGAAAATTTGGGTATGAAAATTTCGAGCATCTGAACACCCCCAAATCTCGATTAGAGCCATATTTAAGGAGATAAATCGATTTAAAGGTTTGGGAAGCCCACAGACCGACAAATAAAGGTTTTTGAAATATGTTATACTGGAAAATTTGGGTATGAAAATTTCGAGCATCTGAACACTACGCAAATCGCGATTAGAGCCATATTTAAGGAGATAAATCGATTTAAAGGTTTGGAAAGCCCACAGGTAGACAAATAAAGGTTTTCGAAATATTTTATACTGGGAAATTTGGGTATGAATATTACGAGCATCTGAACACCCCCAAATCTCGATTAGAGCCATATTTAAGGAGATAAATCGATTTAAAGGTTTGGGAAGCCCACAGACCGACAAATAAAGGTTTTTGAAATATGTTATACTGGAAAATTTGGGTATGAAAATTTCGAGCATCTGAACACTACGCAAATCGCGATTCGAGCCATATTTAAGGAGATAAATCGATTTAAAGGTTTGGGAAGCCCACAGGTAGACAAATAATGGTTTTTGAAATATTTTATATTGAAGAATTTGGGTATGAAAATTTCGAACATCTGAACACCCCTCAAATCTCGATTAGAGCCATATTTAAGGAGATAAATTAACGGCGCCGGTGGTGTAGTGGTAAGCGTGATTACCTCTCACCCCTGCAGGCCTGGGTTCAATCCCAGTCGGCGCCGCCGGGATGTTCTGAGGCATAACATCTCTGATCACGCCTTCCTTCGGATGGGAAGTAAAGCCGTTGGTCCCCGGTTCATGAGTTGATGGGTCGATAGGTAGGGTCCAGGTGTGGGAGCTGCCTTCCTGGCACGTCGGTAGCATTGGTGCTCAGCACGGAAAACAAGATCGACGGAAAAAACAAACCAAAGGAAAAAAAAAAGGAGATAAATCGATTTAAAGGTTTGGGAAGCCCACAAGCCGAGAAATAAAGGTTTTTGAAACATTTCATACTGGAAAATTTGGGAATGAAAATTTCGAGCATCTGAACACCCCTCAAATCGCGATTAAAGCCATATATAAGGAGATAAATCGATTTAAAGGTATGGGAAGCCCACCGACCGGCAAATAAAGGTTTTTGAAATATTTTATACTGGGAAATTAGGGTATGAAAATTTCGAGCATCTGAACATCCCCCAAATCGCGATTAGAGCCATATTTAAGGAAATAAATTGATTTAAAAGTTTGGGAAGCCCACAGGCCGACAAATAAATGTTTTTGAAATATTTTTTACAGGAAAGTTTGGGTATGAAAATTTCGAGCGTCTGAACACCCCCCAAATCACGATTAGAGCCATATTTAAGGAGATAAATCGATTTAAAGGTTTGGGAAGCCCACAGACCGACAAATAAAGGTTTTTGAAATATGTTATACTGGAAAATTTGGGTATGAAAATTTCGAGCATCTGAACACTACGCAAATCGCGATTAGAGCCATATTTAAGGAGATAAATCGATTTAAAGGTTTGGAAAGCCCACAGGTAGACAAATAAAGGTTTTCGAAATATTTTATACTGGGAAATTTGGGTATGAATATTACGAGCATCTGAACACCCCCAAATCTCGATTAGAGCCATATTTAAGGAGATAAATCGATTTAAAGGTTTGGGAAGCCCACAGACCGACAAATAAAGGTTTTTGAAATATGTTATACTGGAAAATTTGGGTATGAAAATTTCGAGCATCTGAACACTACGCAAATCGCGATTCGAGCCATATTTAAGGAGATAAATCGATTTAAAGGTTTGGGAAGCCCACAGGTAGACAAATAATGGTTTTTGAAATATTTTATATTGAAGAATTTGGGTATGAAAATTTCGAACATCTGAACACCCCTCAAATCTCGATTAGAGCCATATTTAAGGAGATAAATTAACGGCGCCGGTGGTGTAGTGGTAAGCGTGATTACCTCTCACCCCTGCAGGCCTGGGTTCAATCCCAGTCGGCGCCGCCGGGATGTTCTGAGGCATAACATCTCTGATCACGCCTTCCTTCGGATGGGAAGTAAAGCCGTTGGTCCCCGGTTCATGAGTTGATGGGTCGATAGGTAGGGTCCAGGTGTGGGAGCTGCCTTCCTGGCACGTCGGTAGCATTGGTGCTCAGCACGGAAAACAAGATCGACGGAAAAAACAAACCAAAGGAAAAAAAAAAGGAGATAAATCGATTTAAAGGTTTGGGAAGCCCACAAGCCGAGAAATAAAGGTTTTTGAAACATTTCATACTGGAAAATTTGGGAATGAAAATTTCGAGCATCTGAACACCCCTCAAATCGCGATTAAAGCCATATATAAGGAGATAAATCGATTTAAAGGTATGGGAAGCCCACCGACCGGCAAATAAAGGTTTTTGAAATATTTTATACTGGGAAATTAGGGTATGAAAATTTCGAGCATCTGAACATCCCCCAAATCGCGATTAGAGCCATATTTAAGGAAATAAATTGATTTAAAAGTTTGGGAAGCCCACAGGCCGACAAATAAATGTTTTTGAAATATTTTATACTGGGAAATTTGGGTATGAAAATTTCGAGCATCTGAACACCCCCCAAATCGCGGTTGAAGCCATATTTAAGGAGATAAATCGATTTTAAGGTATGGGAAGCCCATAGGCCGATAAATAAAGGTTTTTGAAAAATTTTATACTGGGAAATTTGGGTACGAAAATTTCAAGCATCTGTACACCCCCCAAATCGCGATTAGAGCCATATTTAAGGAGATAAATCGATTCAAAGGTGTGGGAAGCCCACAGGCCGACAAATAAAGGTTTTTGAAATACATTATACTGGGAAATTTGGGTATGAAAATTTTGAGCATCTGAACATCCCCCAAATCGCGATTAGAGCCATATTTAAGGAGATAAATCAATTTAAAGGTTTGGGAAGCCTACAGGCCGACAAATAAATGTTTTTGAAATATTTTATACAGGGAAATTTGGGTATGAAAATTTCGAGCATCTGAACACCCCCGAAATCGCGATTAGAGCCATATTTAAGGAGATAAATGGTGATACCGAGCGTCCAGATACACTTTGTTCACATTGGGACATGTTCTGGGCACCCGCAGGGAATTATCCAGTTTTTGACTTGACTTAAACCCATCTTGTGACACCTGAAATCACATGAGAATTCAAAAACAAGTTTATTTATAGCCATACCGCATAGGTCGTATCGGGACATATTTCGGGAACCCCCGAGGAAGTGCCCAGTTCCTGACTAGAACCCACCATGGGATACATCAAATTAAATCAGAATTAAAAAACAATAACAATTGCATCCAAACCGAGTGCCATAGACCACATTGGTCGCATTCAGCTATGTTCTAGGTACCCCGAGGAAGTCGCGAGGGGCCATTAATGCGACAATGCAAGTCAAACGCACACTCTTTGCCTAACCCGTACGATGTACGAGAAGGCAAAAAATGTGCGCTTGACTTTGCTCAAATACTGTCTGCGGTTGTGGAATAGTTCTAGCGACGTTTTACTACCTTGACTTGCACTGTCGCATTAATGACCCTTCGCTCATTTTCAATTTCTATTCAATTTTCATACTGTTGTACTCTAACAGAACTATCTACCTACCCTCTTCTAAATATGAGAATAATTATTAAGTTACTCTTGGAAAAAATACGTATTGGCTAGAGGTCAAAATACGACTTGAGCATTAACGGGTTAAATCGTTATTCGTGACAAGGTACCCGAGTACCCAACACTTATTTGAATAACAAGGTGTAGAAAAAGCAAAACAAACCCTCACGCACATATGGGATAAGGTGTTTTATTTTTCCTTAATTTGTTTTCCGTTGATCTTGATTTCCGTACTGAGTACCAATGCTACCGACACCAGGGAGGCTGCTTCTACACCTGGACCCTATTTATCGACCCATCTACTCATAGACCGGGAACCAACGGCTTTACTTCCCTTCCCAAGGAAGGCGTGATCAGAGATTTTATGCCTCAGAACATCCCGGCGGCGCCGATTGGGATTGAACCCAGGCCTGCTGGGGTGTGCCACTGGTGCCGCTGGGTTAATGGTATTTGAGGAAATTTTGGAAATTTTAAGGCAATCATGGCCTTATTAAATCTGTCATCAATATGGGTTGTGAGCAGGGCTCTACAATTTCGAAGCTCTAAAATGAACTCGTGTTTTGTTTCTCTCATACATACGTGTTCGACGCTTCATTTCTATAACGCCTAGCTAGACTATCAGCAAGAAACGAAAATAAAAAAAGAAGGACGCTTAGAAGGAAAGGCTGGCTGTGGAACTTCTCGTCGTTGCTTTGCTCATCGCTTTCAATGTAACTAACGTCGATTTTCTAGTTAAACGAACTTCATTATGGCTTTCAATCCCCTTTCACGAACACTCTATCACCGCTCTTTCAATTTGTTTAAAATGCGTTATGTCCCGTTTTCGATCATTTTTTTTCGATAAATATATGGATGGAAGATAAATTAGAAATATGACGTGTAATCTTCAAGTGTTTTGACGTGAGAAATGCTTTAAATGTGTTATTTCATTTTCCGTCATATACGTCATGAAACCTCTGTTGATGTGTTTCATGAAAGAGAAAACTATCAAAGTCGAGCGCTCTTTCGCTCATCCGTTTCGACGAAGCTTGAAAGGAAGACCAATGGAGCGACGGGAGAAAGAGAGACAAGCGATTGAACATTTGTTTGTGCACGCCGACTGAGGTTCTAGAATGCTGCGAAGCTGTTCGACTTTAACAGAAAAAGAAAGCCAGCAGTCTCTTCGTCGCATCGATTTGGTCGATTGAAGCTGATATTGTGACGCCCTGGTTGTGAGTTTATGATACTGGTTATGGTAGGTTTATTCGACTTTCAGTCTAAATAAATTACGATCATTACTATTTTGTTCGTTTATTATAAATAAATTATCACTATCTCACTATCACACTTTCCTAACACGTTATGGTAGCTTATCCACGGTTGTGATGACGACGGTTTCCGAATTCACCGTATCCGCCATACCCTCCATAGCCTTCACCATATCCGCCATAACCTTCATCGTATCCACCGTATCCTCCGTATCCCGGATAGCCACCACCATTGAATCCACCGCCTCCAACAACATCGATTTCAACATCTATTTCGCCGTATCCAAACTGACGCTTGGCACGGACAGCTTCCTGGTCCTGGTTAACCTGAGCCAACTCAACCGGATCAACAACAGCCGCAGCTGGGGCAGGTTCATCATTTTGTGGCTCTGCTTCCGGGACTATCTCCTGCTCAACGGGGGCATTTTGTTGAAGCTCTACGGGCAGCGGTCCGGATGGTCTCGAAATCAGAATCGTTCCATCCTGGGGCACCGGAACTGGCTCCTTTACCTGCGGGAAGCCGAAAGCCGATCCGACCAATGCCACTAGCAGCACTGCGCAAGTGGGGTTCATCATTTAAGTACTGGAAAGTGAGGAAACATATGGAAATGTTAGTTTTTTTCTTTTGAAGCAGAGGTAAAATTCTATCAAAACCTAGTGATTATTTGATGAAGCCTTAGATTGATTTGAGACATTTGAGACACATTGGAAAAAAGAAAACAAATACGTAACAAGTATTCAAAACTGACACAAAAGGAGATGCGAAAAGATTATGAAACAGCCGAGCTATATTTCGTAAAGACGTAAAAAACCGGAAATTTATAGACCGCTATATAATACATCCAAACACTATAAACATGTCCTTCAGTAGATGAAACGAAGTGAAGATAAAATCGGAACCTTGCTTCTGGAAACTCAAACCAATATCCTTTTAAAGCCTATTACTCGTTGCAAGATATTTCAATTTGTAGCTCATTAATTTTTATTTTATTTTCCATTGTTTCTCTGTTATGATTATGTAGGACACTTAGATTAATTAGAATATATACTTAACAAAGAAATAATATTGTTATATAAAAAGAATCATTACGTATCAAATTGATTTATAGGACTTTTTCTGAGTGAAATTCATCTAACATTCAAATAAATACCATCTTTTCAAAAAAAATTCCGCCAAAAGGACAACAAAATTAAAATGTTACAATCAAATTCTACCTTATTTATTCAACCTTCTCAAAAAGTAAGTGTTGATGCTACTCAGTTATTTTCTGATAAAAATCAGTCACTAAAACATTTCATTAAATTATAATGAACAATTTCAAAAGCTTTCAATGAAAACCATATATTTGAAGTACTTTTCAAAATACTTTTCACAATTTCCCACATTACATAGCCCACAGATAGCCAAAACAAATCACTTGTCTATCTTTAGAGATTCCGTCCATTCAATTAGTGCTCAAGATGCAACACAATTCAGCAAAATCTATTTCTATCCACTGATCTTACCTTACAATCGGTAACTATCCAAAATAAATTCACAACACCACGTCTTAAATCCTCAAGCTCTATCCAAGGACTACAACTGTTCTTTACCATTATGATACCGTTTATATACGGGGAATAAATACCGAGAATTAGGAGCAAAAAAGTCAACACGCATCGGAGAGAAAATTAAGAATTGCTTCTTAAACCACTACCACCAATAATATCATGTCACAAAACACTCCGCCCACCTTGCTGTCATCCCCCCCCCCCCCCTCGGTGCATGTAATTTCACACACAAATACAAGGCAACCCATCCGGTATATTTAGGGGTACATGGGGTAAATTTTGCCAAACTGCCAATTTTGAATACATTTCCAAAACTAGCAATGCTGCTTTACAGCTCTCCGAAAATGTATTGATCCTATAAGCTCAAAAACTCACTTTGACCCGTAGATGAATTTTACCCCAGGAGCCCTTACTAGCCACCATGCTGCATGTCGTGTGGCACCTCTTGTTTTCCGATTTTAATTTGGAAACCGGTGGTGGACTCCCGAAGGCTTCAACAATAAAAGAAAGGTATTCATACCTGCTTGGAAACCGACATTCGATAATAGGCATGGGATAATTTATATCAATCGACTTGGCTCGACGAGATTTGAACATGCCTGTGTGTATGTGTATGTTTGTGTGTGTGTTTTTATGTGTGTATGTATGTGTGATGAAATTAAGGACGTCGTGTTTCTCGGCAACCACTGCACCAAAGTGGATGTAACAACCATCAAACGGAAGTTACCATGGTCCAATAGAGCGCCATTGAATATTCTAGGAATCGGACAACTGATTCCGAAGATATCACATTCACAAAAACATGTTCCACTGAATACAAGCCTTAAAGCTGGGCTTAGACTAGGCAAGTCAAATGATCAACTCAGTTGAATTCAATTGGCTTGCAAAGTTGAGCCTGGTTCAACTTTTTTCAATTCAAGTGAGTTGATCAAGTCAGTTGATTGGCATGGTTTACACATTCAATTCGTGTCAAGTCAGTTGAATTCAACACATTTGTTCACATTCGGTTGGTTCACATTTGCCATGCCCGGAAATGTCTCGGAAGCCCATGTGACCAAACTGAACCAAAACTTATCATACCGCATGCGAGTTTAATAACAAAAATATTTAGAACCCTCTGGTACACACATGCCGAGAAAATTCAGACATGGACGCGCATGTCATTCAGAAATTATTATACTTCTCTTTTCTGAAAGAGAGCTTAAGCAAATTTATCGGAATTTAAAAAAAAGTAAGAAAGGTGCGATCTCACCATAAGTGGATAAATTAGTTTTTTTTTCGACAGTAGAAGGGTAGAAACTTGTATTGCGTCTAGTCACGTTAAAGTAGTATGCACAGCGATGCCACAAATTCTGATTTTAATTTTGTGCACGAAAAAAGTTGGGATCTCATTGTTTATATTGATAGCGTAAGGCGCTATATCAAGTTGGTACGCTCAACAAATAGTTCCTAAAATTAACTATTTAAAAGCCTTTGAGTACCAACGAAATTAAAAAAAGAAAATAACACAATCTGTAATTTGCAACTCGCTCAACGTGAAACTAAACATGTTGCATGAAATTTAATACCCTGTTCTATAGCCCAATACTTGAAAAATATTTTGGAGAACATCAGGTTTCATGAAATGCCCTCAAGGAGAAAATAACATATTGTTTTATTTTGTAAAATGCACTTGTCCTCGTGTTACAAAAGTTGGCGCTTATACTGAAAGGTTAAGCTAACAAAGGGGCTATTCATAAACTACGTAGACGTATTGAGGGGAGGGTGGCTGGCGAGTGCTTACAGTTCATTCAGTTTTCCAATAAAATGTATCGATGGTTGTCAATGCGAGGGGATGGGCGGTTTAATACATCTCCAAATTCGTTTACGTAGTTTATCAACAGTCCTAAACTTGCAACAGTACCTTCTTATTCTTATTCTAGGTTTTTTACTCTTCTTTTGGGAGCGTTTTGCCAGTTCCCAAGTAACGTTGCAGGTTTTATCGAGGTTTTATAGCATTCTACAAGTCTAAATCATGGTCTACAGAACCCTCATAAAGCCAAAATTGTTACTTGGGTTCCCAACTTAGTGTTCTACGTGCACTTCCACAGCTCTAAAGGCCCACGCACATTAGATCCGGATCGGACGCGTTGCGGCAAAGTGACAGCAAAATCTATTGTCAAATTTACGTCAACGCAACGCAAACGGATCTAATGTGCGTGGCCCTCAATAGAGAGCTTTTTATACCAACCAATTATAACTGTGTGACAAGCATAATGAAACTCTACACACTATTTTAGAACTACCCAAATTTGGGTAGAATCCACCCAGATCTGTCAAAACTGAACCTACCCAAAAATGGGTAAACTATTTTGGGAGTTGACAAATTAACAACGTCGATCGGATTAATGTCGTTGTTGTTCATTTGTCAACTTGCAACTCCCAACACAGTTTACCCATTTTTGGGTAGGTTCAGTTTTGACAGATCTGGGTGGATTCTACCCAAATTTAGGTAGTTTTGAAATAGCGAGTATGCCCAGGAAAGTAAAAAAAATAGCCCACCCGAACGATTTGCTCGATCGAACCGGGAATCGAACGCGCCACCTCCGGGTTGAGGATACCGTGCCTTTACTTACTAGGCTATCTGAGGCACCAGTATCTTCCGGAATCAACACAAACAAGGGGTCTCAACTATTTTCATGCACTAAAATCTGTATTTGTGACATCGCTGAGCCGTCAATTATCTTCCATTTCAGATGTTTACTACGCTCAAAAACACACAAGAAACGGTTTTTCGCACGTCGCGTCGTCATAGCGTAATCGTTGTGATACTTTTCTTACAAACCGATAACCGGCGAGGTAGCCGGCTCGCAGCGGGGACGGCCGCTAGACGATGACAAATTATTATATGTGCTCGACGGGCGCGCAATTGTTTTGCGTTAAGAAGGCTACAGGTTTCCGATGGGATTTTCCGAAGTCACCAGATACGTTGGTGTGCCAATGTTCTAAGCTCTCGCATACAGATGTCTGTTATTGCAGCTTTTTTATCTGAGTTGGAACCAGTTTCACTTTTTGTCAGTGCAAACCTCGACATGAGGATAAGGTAGGATTATACGTGCCACAGGGTGATATGACAAACAGTGTTGATTTACGTGGTTTTCATGACCAATTCTAAGGGTTTTCACCCAGAATTACGAGATGAGCTGTTGTACTACCATTTGAAAATCTGTTCAGATCAATTGGTATTTGAAAGGCACGAAAAAAATGCCGTTGGTCATATTACTCCGTGGCACGTATTACTCTACCCTTACCCTTACTCTACCTGATCCAGGCTGGAACTGAAGCAAAATCAAATTCGGTATTAGAGATGACAGTTAGCAGCAATCTAATTAGCTTATTTGGATGGAAGAACGAATGTATAATACGTGAAATGGGGTAAATGACCGCAACCCGAATCCATTTTGCGTTGTTTTTCCTTTTAATTCAACATAATAAGGTATGTAAAGATTAGAATCAATGTTTTAAAATAAGATATTGTCGTGGCCACTTCTGTCCAGTCTACGAATTTTAAAATTTATTACGAATCTACGGACCAAGCTTAAAATTCTACAAAATTTCCAGATTTTTTAGGATTTTTCTAAAAGTGCGGATTTTTAAAATACCCTAGAGTGTTTATCTTACTAATGACTGGATAGAAAATAAGTTGTAAACAGATTTTTCCTTCTAAATCCTTAAAAAAATATTTCAAAATGGGAAAAGGTTCTTCAATTATGTAGGTCATTCTTAAGACGTTAGCTTCACAAAGACAAATAAAAACTATTTGTTTAGATGCATTGCAGCCTCTCGGGGTATGGTAGTTTGAAGTACCTTTTTCCTCCGCAAGGATATCCACAAAGCCACCTGACCAACACACAGAAAACCAAATCGATCACGTTCTAATCGACGGGAAATTCTTCTCCGACATTATCAACGTCCGCAGGTACCGCAGTGCGAACATAGATTCGGACCACTACCTAGTTGTAGTATGCATGCGCTCAAAACTCTCGACACGGTGCTTATTAAATTACCAAAATGACTAAAACTCGGAAAAATAGACAAGAATACATTTTAAAACGCCAAAATGTCTTAAAAACCCCTAAGACGGTTCTTGTAATAATCTCGAAAACGACAACTCTTATTCCTGAAATTAAATTATTGAACAGTCCTGAAAACACCAAAATATTGAACCCATTCATCACAGAAATGGCATTGCAATTCTAAATATTAAAGGTAGAAAGATTCCATTAATATATTAAAATGAGTATTAGAAAATGTAAATGCTTCTGACCAGGTTGTCTGAGTTTCCGCGACCCAGCTATGGACAGCCCGCGACCCACCAATGGGAACTTTGCTCTTGGGTCATTCGTGGTCTTTTCCGGGGATGAGATTTGAACTCGTGACTTGGACGTAAGAGGTCTGGATTTTAACCAACACACCAATACATTTTCAGGCACAGATTCGGCAAAGGGAAATTCGCTTCAAAACATAATTTGCTTATCTAACTTTATTCTTCAGTATTCATTTTTATTTTGCGCATGCCATTTTCAATCAGTTAAATATCATTTGTCACTCCACTCCAATCAGTACCCACGTCTAAAGGGGATGGACGGAATGAATCCTCTCGAACCGAAAGAGCTGTAGGGGTCGTTGGCAAACTGGTTGTATCCGCCGTATCCACCATTTAATCCTAGTCCACTGCCACCGTACAAACCGCCACCATTCAATCCACCATACTGGCTGCCTCCATATTGACTGCCACCATACAGGCCGCCGCCGTACAATCCCCCACCACCACCGTAAACACCACTGCCGTACGAACCGCCTCCGTATGGACCTCCGCCATATAAAGCTGTGCTGTACTGTCCATTGTTGAAGCCTAGCCCGGTGGTTGGAATGCCGGAGTATCCCGAATAACCCGAGACGCCACCATATGCTCCTTGAGACAATCCTCCTCCATAGGAATATCCTGTGCCTGCGAAAGATTTACAGAAAGGATCTGTTGACGAATTCCCATCACTCATCCAAGTACTCTTCTAAAATTAGTTTATAAAATTCAACTTACCGAAAAGCTGCCTCGATTTCCGACTCAAATCGAATACTCTATCTTGAGCAGGAGGCTGATCCTGGACCGACTGTTCATGTTGCTGATTTTCAGCCGGTTTTCCCAGAACAACTCCCAACACTGCACAAGTCACCAGTAGCGTGAGTTTCATTTTCCTACAGAGTATCGTTTGGTGCTTTGGTCGTTCGTACTAAATCTTGTCTATTGCTAGATCGCAAAACTACTGATTTTTCTAAAACTTACCAACAGCTTTATATACCCCGAAATGGAACCACACGCACTCGACAGGTGTAAATTTAGCCCGAAACCAACCGGCTGGAAGCTGGAAGCCCTGTACGGCCCAATGAAACGATGTAATTGTCCTCCGAATTATGTCCATTTTCGGAACAGTCTGGCAAAACGTGGCCGCACGCATGGTTAATGCATTGTTTTAGCGAATCGACTCGGTACCGAAGGGGGGGCCAATTTACAACCAAGTGCTAGAAATATGTGAGCTATTCAATTGAAGTCAAGGGTATGGGCTTGCGAGTTGCCACTGCCCAGTCCTATAACTAATTGTCTACAACGGGATGAATCACTTGTGTGGACCATAAAAGTGCGGTTGATTGAGTTTGTTCAAGGGGGTAAATGAACTCTTGAGTCGTTGACAAGTTTGCCAAAGTATTTTGAGTTATGTGGCACAATTGGTCCGTAGTGTGGTTCAATCACACCAACAAAGTTGGTTCTGACTTCTTCTTCTTCGCATTTCAAGCCTACTGCTTATCGCATATTAGCTTATTACGTGGTTTCAACTTAGTGTTTTAGATGCACTTCCATTGTTATTAATTGAGAGCTTCCGATACCTGTACCATTTTTGCATTTGTATAATTGTGTGGCAAGTACAATAATACTTAATGCCCAGGAAAGTCAAGACAATTTTCATACCGGAAAAAATTCCAGACAGGACCGGGCAATGAACTCAGCCACCTCCATGGTCTTGCTTTGTATCTGCGCCGTTACCGACTGAGCTAAAGGAGGGAACAGGAATAATAAGATTTTTGATTAGCAATAAATCAACGAAAAGCTTATACAAAAACGGATACCATATTTTCGTAAAGTGGTTCACATAATCGACACCGATCTGCGAAAAAACGGTTTATAGACCCGATGACTCGTGGTGCTGTAAATTTTCCCAAGATACCGTGGATCTTGTGCGTTTAACTGCTCAAACTGTTCACGATCAGATTGGAGCGTATCGATAGCGGGATTGCTACTCTGAACAAATTCATCAACAGGCCCAAAGCCCCCACTATGTTCGCTCGTATAATCGGTATCCCTAACTACTTGTTCTGCTACTTCCTGGAAATCTCTTCGAAATTATCGTCGTGATCACTCATCACAACCCGGAAAACCCAAAACGATCCAATTAGCCTCATTGCAACAGTGAAAATGCAGGGGTGAGACGGACAGTGGAAGTAATACGGACACCTGTTCGTTTGAAAGCTTAACGATCGAATACAGGTATACCTCGATATAACGTAACTGTCACTTTTCACTTCCATCATTGATTTCTCGCAAACGATCATTCATCACGTAAACTGATAACACCATCGGAAACATTATCTAATTCCCCATCCACTGGTGTTGTCGATTTGTGTGATTGAGTTGTTGTTTGTGAGAAATCAACGATGGAAGTGAAATGTGACAGTTACGTTATATCGAGGTATATCTGTAATCGGGCTTTAGTCACACCCACTCTTAATTAACGATATCTAATGCATTCTACAATATACTACTTGGCAAGGGAGTTGTTAAATTTAACAAAAACAAAAAGTTATTCCACTAGCGGTGCACAGCGGAGAATCACCGGTCATTAGACAAAATTGGAAAATTAGCATTTTCTCCTCCATGCTATTTTATCTATCAGTCTATACTGTTGACCAAAATTTGAGCGCAACATGAGAAAATTTAAATTTTAACGACTAAAACGGCATTATTACTCAATCCACTGGGGGCTTAACCAGTAGCTTGGATTTTTATATTTGATTTTTATGGGCTACAAAATGGTAAGTTGACAACCTGGAAGGAGCGGAATACCTAGCCCTGGTCCTCACAAGTTCCTACTTCACGCTCCTCGATCAAATTATAACAAAAGACTAACTTGGACACAGCTGGGTGGCGTAGCCTGGGCAATGTTGCCAGTCCGGCAATAGCAAAGTGAAGAGGTGCGACGCGGTAACCATACTACGGTGATAGAGGAAATACTTCACCAAACCTGAGCGTCTGTCCATCATGGAGGTGCGGCTCAAAACGGCGTCTGTTCTTCATGTTAGGAGTGGCTGAACATTGTCCTAGTGCCAGCGTGGGACTCTAAACAGAGCTGTGCATGATGGTCCCCCGGCGAGACAGGGGGTTGGGGCAGGCCCAACAAGCCGCCCTGGAAAAAAAACAAAGTTGAAAATACTGAAGAAAGAAATACGGATCGTAACAATCGGCACAGACCTACGCAACGAAATAAGGACTACGCTTGGAAACTCGGAACATGGAACTGCAAATCGCTCGACTTCCTAGGCTGCAATTGGTTAATCTATGACGAACTTCAACCACGCAACTTCGAAGTCGTAGCACTGCATGAACTTTGCTGGACGGGACAAAAGGTATGGAAAAGCGGGCATCGAGCGGCTACTTTCTACCAGAGCTGTGGCACCACCAACGAGCTGGGAACCGGCTTTGTAGTGCTGGGTAAGATGCGCCAACGCGTGATTGGTTGGCAGCCGATCAACGCGAGGATGTGCAAGTTGAGGATTAAAGGCCGTTTCTTCAACCACAGTATCATCAACGTGCACTGCCCACACGAAGGGAGACCCGACGACGAGAAAGTAGCGTTCTATGCGCAGCTGGAGCAGGTGTACGATGGCTGTTCGCAACGGGACGTCAAAATCTTCATCGGTGACATGAACGCTCAGGTAGGACGGGAGGCAATGTATAGACCGGCAATCGGACCAAACAGCCTGCATGCCGTATCGAACGACAACGGCCAACGATGCGTGAACTTTGCAGCCTCTCGGGGTATGGTAGTTCGAAGTACCTTTTTCCCCCGCAAGGACATCCACAAAGCCACCTGTCACCTGACCAACACACAGAAAACCAAATCGATCACGTTCTAATCAACGAGAAATTCTTCTCCGACATTATCAACGTCCGCACGTACCGCAGTGCGAACATAGATTCGGACCACTACCTAGTTGCATTATGCATGCGCTCAAATCTCTCGACGGTGCATAACACACGTCGAAGTCGAACGCCGCGACCCAACGAGCAACTTCAGCCACCGCACGAGATTGAATGTGGAGCGATACAGACAAGCGCGCACCAGACAAAACTCGGTTTTCCGAAGGAAGAAGCGTCAGCAGGAAGACCGAGATCGCGAGACGATGGAAAATCTAAACAGCGTAAACGACACACGGAAGTTCTATGAGAAGATAAATAATTCGCGTAAAGGCTACGTGCCGCAAGCCGATATGTGCAAGGACTTGGACGGTAACCTTCTCACGAACGAGTGTGAGTTGATTGAGAGGTGGAAGCAGTACTATGACGAGCACCTCAATGGTGAAGCAGCAGAAAACAAAGGTGGCACGGCAACAGACCTTGGAGCACGCGCAGAAGACGACAGGCTACCGGCCCCTGATCTTCAAGAAGTTGAGGAGGAGATCGGTCGGCTGAAGAACAACAAAGCAACTGGTGTAGATCAACCACCAAGCGAGCTACTAAAATACGGTGGTGAAGCACTGGCTAGAGCGCTGCACTGGGTAATTGCCAAGATTTGGGAGGAGAAGATATTACCGGAGAAGTTGATGGAAGGTGTCGTATGCCCAATCTACAAAAATGGCGACAAGTTGGATTGCTGCAACTACCGCGCGATCACACTGCTGAGCGCCGCCTACAAGGTACGTACTCTCCCAAATTCTATTCCACCGTCTGTCACCATTTGCAAGAGAGTTCGTGGGGCAATACCAGGCGGGATTCATGGGTGCCCGCGCTACCACGGACCAAATTTTCGCCGTTCGGCAGGTTCTGCAGAAATGCCGCGAAAACAACGTGCCCACACATCATTTGTTCATCGATTTCAAATCCGCATACGACACAATCGATCGAGATCAGCTATGGCAGATTATGCACGAGTACGGATTTCCGGACAAACTGACGCGATTGGTCAAGGCGACGATGGATTGAGTGATGTGCGTTGTTTGAGTATCGGGGACACTCTCGGGTCCCTTTGAATCTCGAAGGGGGTTACTGCAAGGTGATGGACTTTCGTTTATGCTATTCAACATCGCGTTAGAAGGTGTGATCAGAAGAGCTGGGATAGACACGAGTGGTACGATATTCAGGAAGTCCATCCAGCTCCTTGGCTTCGCCGATGACATTGACATTATGGCACGGAAGTTTGAGATGATGGCGGAAACGTACATCAGACTGAAGGCTGAAGCTAGACGGATTGGACTTGCCATCAACGCATCAAAGACAAAATACATGAAAGGAAGAGGTTCTAGGGAAGACAATGTTAGCCTCCCACCCCGAGTTCAGATTGACGGTGACGAAATCGAGGTGGTCGATGAGTTCGTGTATTTGGGCTCACTGGTGACCGCCGAAAATGATACCAGCAGAGAAATTCAAAGACGCATTATGGCAGGGAATCGTGCCTACTTTGGAATCCGGAGGACGCTCCGGTCGAATAAAATTCGCCGCCGCACGAAGTTGACTGTCTCCAAGACGCTGATTAGACCGGTGGTCCTCTACGGCCACGAGACCTGGACTATGCTCGTGGAGGACCAACGCGCTTGGTGTTTTTGAACGGAAGGTGTTGCGTACCATCGACGGCGGAGTGCAGATGGATGACGGAACGTGGAGAAGGCGAATGAACCACGAATTGCACCAGCTGCTGGGAGAACCATCCATCATCCACATTGCAAAAATTGGGCAACTACGGTGGGCTGGGCACGTGCCGCACGACGAGTCGCGCAGCGGGCAAGGTGGATCTACCAAGTAGAAGGCGACCTGCGGACCCTTCGCAGACTACGAGGCTGGCGAACTGTGGCCATGGATCGAGTAGAGTGGAGACGACTTCTTCGGACAGCAGAGGACAACAAGGCCTTAGCCTGATTGGTAAAT